CCCTGGAAAGGTTTTACGAGGCCGGCTGCACTGCTGAGCGAACTTCACGGCAGCACTCTCACTTCGGGCCAAGCAGCTGTACCAGTCAACGTACTTTAAATTTTATCGGTCCTGTTAAACACATAGGAAATGTTCTGCTCCTCACATAAACGGCAGGGAACCTCGCAAATTGTTTGCACCGGCTCCAATTTAGCCCCGGGTATACGTGCGAGAGGAATGAAAGAAACCCCGCGTTAATTTAATTCCTGAAGACGATGGGTACTCGCTGTGCATTGCAAACCAAACCCAAGCGAGCGCGCCGGCTCCGCAGACCCCGCACCGCCACCTGCAGCTGGACCACCCGCGCTGCCGCTGCTGCCCTTCCACTGGAGTTCCACACCCCGGGGGGGGTCTGCCTTCCCGGTGCCAGCTCCCACAGCACCACCTGACAGCAGCAACTCCGGCAAGTCGCTCGAGTTCCTCCTTGCCTTTGGGAGCTATCCGTTTAAAGATAAAACAGGTGATAAATTTAAAAGAAAGAGGCAGCACGTGCCGTGGCAGGTTGAGAGCAGAGCTTGTGCCGCCTGTTTCGAAGCTCCTTTCGCTGCTCTTGGAACGGGTGAGGGGCTGGGATACCAGAGCTTTTCCCTCAGGGGGATATCCCCCTAAGGCTGTCCCACCACTGTTCTTCCATACGGGCTGGGGCCTTCCTCCCTCTCTCAAATCTAGCCGAAATGAGCCAAATTCAGAAATCACGGCAGGGAGGGAAGAGGAAGAGATGGTGCTGGACAGACAAGCGCAATTGCATAAGCTTCACTTCCTAAGGAAACGAGGCAAAAAAAGATTCAGACGCCCTAGTCGACGCGATAGAGACGTTTGTATTCCCGTTTCCCTTGGCAGCAGTGCTGCACTGTGACAGGCGATCTTTTATCGCTTCTCTAAACAAAGTGCAGCTGGGGCCGTGTGATAAATCTTCCCCTTGCCCCACACCGCTACTGAAATAACTCGGCGGTGTCAGTTCAAAAAAGGCCGTGCTGCATTTCTTTCCCTTATTAGCAGAAATAACAAGCCCGCGTTTGATAATCTGGCCTGCTTGGAAACGTCAACCCTTCCGTTTTTCATCTGAATGAGTAAATGGAGCTCTCTCACGCTGATCTCGCGGCGTGCCAGGGAACCCACGTCCTCTCTGGGTAGCTCGGTCCTGTAAAGCGCTGAAGCTCGTAGCATAACAAAACAATCTCCAGGTGCATCTGGCTTTTTGGGAGGTACATGCTGTTGCCTGATAAGGGTGCTGCCCATTCTGCTCAGCTTTCCCACTGAGCGCACCACTGCAGATGAAACCTGTTGCAGCAGACGTGAGCACGACTGCTTGAGAAAGCCGGCTGGAGGAAAACCCGGCGGGAAAACGAAACCGTAGGTGCCCGTGCTCGATGCCGGCACAAGCAGAGGCTGCGTGGAAAGGGGGGTACAGGGACCGATGTTGGACACCCCTCTGGGAAGGAAAGCCTCGAGCGTTTCACGACGGACCTGCGCGCCATGTGAAGTACTTCCTCGGGCTCGTCGTCCTCCTCTCCCCGTGACTGCAAGGCCGTCGGCAGCGCTAGTCCCCCCGGGTGGGTTTGTAAGGGAAAAACCGGCCTGGCCCCCTTGCACAGCCAACCCCTGCCGCAGGGACGCATGCCTCGCCCTGTCCCCTGCTGCTGCTCCATTTAATGACTCCGCGGGGT